AGAGACAGAGACAGAGACAGAAAGGGAGACTGAGAGAGGCTACTTGTTTCCCACCTGGATTTCTACTAATGGGAAAGCTTTATTAACCTGTGCAGGTGTGGTAACATTAAGGGAAGTAGAACGAGGGTGCATGCTACTTGTTTCCAGACAAATCTTCCCTGAGTCTCTCATGTCCTTACATGTCTTTGTAGATCTCACAAGAAGTAAAAGCCTCACTACTTTTCACTTTGGCATTGCCTCCAGCTTATATTTGACGAGAACACTGAAGTTTATGAAGAAATTCTCCCTATGACAAAGACCAGGGACACTGAGTGATTGCTAGGTAAGGTGGGGGAAGAGAAGCAGGTCTGCTCCTTGGATCTGTGATGACAGACAGATGTGGGGGAAAATGGCAACAAAGTAGGAGGAAGCATCTGTGAATCATTGCAAAATCAATTTCCTCATTCTCCACTGTTTCACAAGTGACATTCATTAGCTAAGCACCCCAAAAGGTGTGCGGAATAAGAATGTGGCTGGGTTAATTCTAGTTCATCAAGTACTTGAGGCACAAAATGAGGTAGAAAAGGAACGGAGAGCATCGCTTGTGCTAATTCCCAAATCTGGCACACAGTGAACACTGAATGTATCTGCTGAGTAATAAAAGAGTAATCCAAAATGTAGCATAGGGCTGGCCAAATAGCTCAGCAGATTAACGCGCCTGCTTAGGCAGACGCTGTGGCTAGTGTTCTATCCCCGGCATGCTGGGCGTGGTGGCGCTCGCCTGTAATCCCAGCACTTGGGAGGCTGAATACAAGCAGATCCCTGGGAGTCCAATCTATGTAGTGAGACCCTGAACACTCTGTAGACCTTTCCTTAAATACAGAAAAAAAATGTAGCATAAAAGTAGCCCTGTGGTTTTAGATGTGTAAGGGAGAAGTTCTAGCAACTACATTAAGCTTATTGATGGTTATAAATATGCATTTTCCCAGATGAGAAGGAAAATAATGACCACAGAAAAAATTACCAGTCAGGTTCCAGAATATTTTCAGCTGAAAAAAATGTATTTTCACCTACATTTGAGATGAAGATGGGATATTTTTCCAGAAATGACAAAAGTTGTAACCTCCAGACAACTCAGCAAGCCAGAGTTGCTGTTTGGTAGTGTGCATATTGAAGTGCATGACTTCCACTACAGTTTGTTATCAGTGTGGCTCTGAATAGTGGGCAGAAATAAAAGTTAGTTTATAGAGGTTTTTAACTGTACAAGACCTTATTATTCCAAAACTAAATATGTAGCCAGGTGTGGTATTGCAAGCCTGTAACAGCACTCAGGAGGATGAGGCAGGAAGATTGCCCCGAGTTTGAGGTCAGCCTGGATTACATAGTGAGTTCAAGGCCCTGGACTACATAGCAAGATCCTGACTGATATCCCTGTCCCCCAAAAAGAAATTTAAAAGTAGAAAGAATGGCTCCCTATAATGAGATGAAGTAAAGTAAAGAGAAAAACTTTCTGGTTACCCAATGTATTTTAGATAATGATACTGGTAAAATATGTCTTCTCATTTATTCTAATTAATGATTAATAAATAACATATTCACCTTCTATGCCTAGCAAAAGAAGCTTGAATTCAAGGATTTAGTGAGCCC